CAGTGTTAAACAAATCAAAGTGTGAAGTGAAACCCTACTCTCATATTTCATTTTGCATACATCCATTGATTCACAACACATTTAAAACAATCACCCTTAAAATCCCCCCTACCGCATACACTCCCTGCCAACACAGTCGCCCTTGGACTTCTGCCTACCAGGTACACCCAGTGCTAACACATACAGTCGCCCATAGACTCCCCTCTACCGCGTACACCCAGTGACATAAGTATAGTATCCATCAACTCGTGCAAGCATTATTAAACTTCCCTTTACGCAACGTGCACCCATTCAACTCCCCTCCTGTGTGAACCCAATGACCAAATAAAATGCTATACAACTTCCCATCGCTCTAAAACATTCCCTTTCCGCTTTCAATGCAGGAACCGTTCACTGATGTTAGTGTCAATAGTGTATCGGTATCCCATAAACGATTATTTGATCTATTAGCAAAATTACATTATATGATGTAAAAGTCTCAAATATTGATAAATTGTCATATAATATTCTGTTCATGTACCCATTATATGCAGGATATAAAGAACATAATTATCGCGTGATTATCGCCATCCATGATTCCCTATTTACAATGAAGTAAGTATTTAACAAAACAAAACACTACATAGTTAATAGCACCCCGTAGCTAAATTCTCACTGTCCGTCCCTGGCACGGGAAGGCTCGTATTTCAGTCCAACACAGGACGAGAAACTCATGTAGTTTGTTTATTATCTACTCATGCTGGTATCTATTCTAATGTTTCCCATCCATAACGTACCATGTGTAGAGTTCTAATCTCAATTTGAGATACTATTATCGTATTTAGTTTTCAAGCTGCTGCCCAGTCTGTTAAATCACGCAGTAATGCATGCTCATATCGACATTATTTACTCGTCTGTTTGCGGTTTTATTAGTTAAAATCTTGAAAGTCGTCTTGTTGAGACCTCGATAAAGTTTGTTCACAGAACTTGGCTCGTAAATATTGACTGATCTGCATCGCCGTACCGACTCGCTTGCTGGGGGTATTATATTGTCACTTTCACCTAAGCGATTAAAAATGTGTGTAATATAACTCTACTGCGCATCACGTCATTTTAATACCATATTAGGTTAACACACGTCATCACACTATATCAGCATCTAACATGTTCGATATGAGTCCCATGCAACCTATACAACTCGTGTAATGTACATTGTTTGTTTACATGGCGTTCCAGCGCGTGCTGCACGGCGACTGTCGCTCTTTAAAATAACCAATACGTTCAACTTGAATGCTTTTCATAAGTCGTTCTTCTCCTCGCTTTACAGTATCTGTTAGATATACGCTCATATACCCCATTGTCGCATATTGCCATTCCTACGCCCATGGAATGTATATTCTATACTTAAAGATAAAGTAATAGTCTGGATGGCTGCTGTGTGTTGATAATAAAACCATTCATCATACATGTCACTTACCGATCACCAAAATAGTGTATATTAGCTGGCCGTTGGTGGCGACACGGAGACTGTGCTCCTCGAGTGGCCTGGATTTGAATTGAATGGTTAAAAAAGAACCGGGACATCTTGTAGAATGAGGCCCCATACCACAATTAGCATATCAGTGCTCTCAGTTCTAAAATCATATGGTTGGTGTTAATGTATCCTCGGGGGCGGAACTACGTCACAAGACGTTCCACGTTGCTACGACGCGCACCACTGTACATGTACATGCATTTCTATGGGCTCTGTGCGCGCTGCTGTGGAACGCCGGTCGAGCCGGTGAAAATTCGAGAAAACAACACAAACTCAACTTTGAAGTAATCCCGAACAGCCAAATTTATATATGTTACACACGTAGGGCTAATCTTGTTACACTGTTCAGAGTCTCAACAATCATCCCAAAGTACCGTTTTCTGCGAGTTTTTGGCCTTTGTTTTCACCGCCGCAGGTTGCCAGGCGTTGAAAATGCCCGGATGTCCGCCCCCGAGGATAGTTTTTTTAACATCCACATTTTATCTCAAACGCGATGTATGAGGGCGTACTTCAATTGCGTCAGCTGTTTAGTACGTAAAGGTTTGTTTATTGACGAATACGGGTGACCAGTAGATCTGGAAACTATGTGACACTATTAAACTGACTTTGGTTTTGTGAATTTTGAAGATAGATAGCCTGAGATATCAGTATATTTTGTTTACATCCATTGTGTAAGATTTTGAGGTGGATAACATATGTTTTTTTTCCTGTCGAGATTTGGAAGTAGAAAAATGATTTGAACTTTTAATCG